GCCTAGAATTCCCGTGAGTTCTGAAGAGGCTTTGGAGATTCATTTCAAAATTAAAACAGCTTGTAAAAATGGAGATCAGATTGGGTGCCAAAATTTGGCAGCGAAGATTAAGGCACTAGCGAAGGAGAGCGAACGTGACAAGAGCTGCCTCGTGGCTACTGGAACGGCTGGTGTTTTATCATATGCTTTTGAAGAGTTTTCAAAAGCTTCTTTCGAAGAAAACGTTGCGGTCCTGGACGAAATACTGTCAAGTTTGGCAGTACTTCTGCATCATGACAAGGCAACGAATTGCCCTGGCTCAGATGCTTCTATAGATCGCATCGTGTTGTTCTTGAAAAGTGAGGATTTGTCTGCGAGAAGAAATGCAGTTCTGGTGCTGAAAGAGCTTGTTCCAGTATTGGATTACAGAAAAGTAGACATGTTTCTAGAAATTGAAGGAGCCATGGAAGCATTGTTTAAGCTAATTAAGGCACCCATTTGTCATGCTGCAACAAAAGCTTCATTAATGGTCATTTATCATATGGTCACATCACCATCTCCTTCAAGCGCAAAGATCATAGCTAAGTTCGTTGATTTGGGTTTGGTCTCGTTGCTATTAGAAATGCTTGTAGACGCAGAAAGAAGTTTATGCGAGGAGGCGTTGGGCGTTCTAGATGGAATTTGTGGCAGTGATCAAGGGAGAGAGGAGGCATACAATCATGCTCTCACGATACCAGTTCTCGTCAGGAAAATACACCGCGTCTCAGACTTAGCAATGAAGTTCTCTGTCTCTATTCTATTTAAACTCTGCATGAATGAGAAGAGAGAAAATGGAGGTGTTCTAGTCGAGGCTATTCAAAGGAATGCTTTTGAAAAGCTTTTGGTTCTCTTACAGGTTGGCTGTGATGAGAGAACAAAGGAGAAGGCAACTCAGCTGTTGAGGGTGTTGAATGCTCATAGAAGCAGTGTGGACTGTATCGATTCTGTAGATTTCAAGAACGTCAAGAGGCCCTTTTAATTCAAGGCAACCGCCACCGTAGCAGTTTTGTAGACAAGAGAGTTTGCCTGTTAGGATCTACATCCGATTATGATATCCAGTTTCATGTACAAAATACAAAAGCTTACCGTAATTAATTATACCGTCACAGATTTTGACAGTCCAATTCTCAATTCAGGACATTTTCATTTTGCGCTGTATGGTTTTTTTTTTTCCCTCCCCTTACTGATGGGATATATGCATGACATTAATAAAAGTCGGACTGGATTATATGACATGCCATCATAATCAGACTGGTTGTTGGTTTTTATTAGATCCGATCCAACATAAACTAATGCTTTCACATTTTATCTGAAAGCACCTTACTTTTATTTTTATTTTTTTCTAGGAATATGTTATGTTTCTGAGGAGTTATGAGGATAATAATAATGCTTGTCGGACCATTTAGCTTTTAAAAGGACTTCATCTTTCTGATCAGGATTTAAGATATTTCTATAAAATGAGATTCACAGGATGTAGATATTTCATCCTATCGAATAAATAGATAAATAAAATAAAACAATAACTAGTCGTAAGTGAGTTTCCTTGTACAAGTGCTTGACCCAGTCCCTTATACTCTTAACAATTTACGGAGTAATTCTGCGGTGCTCGTATAATACTGTCCTTTGCTCTTGAATTGAAACCACACGGTTTCCTGTTGTATTTTTTTTTTTTCAAATTATATATTTATCAGTTAGTTCCGAGATGAAAAGTTGAGATCATCTAGTTCCACGTATTAACACCAGGCTTCTTTAAAATTAGAAAGGTGACCAGACGTGGAATAATCTCTAAATTAAGAAACCTGTTCATATATCTTGTTGAGTTGTTAGGTGGGAAGACCGCCATTAATCATTGTGTACCTAACTTGGAGGGCATATTTTGTAGCAGGCAGAGGAATAGAATGAAAAGAATCACAGAATTTTAACCATCTAATTCAACGACTCGTTACATTTCTTCATTTAATTAGTTGTAAGATTCTTCAACATATAATAATTACTAAAAACTAGTGCTTAAGAATCAAGTGAGTTGTTAAGGACGAATCATGGCTAAACGGACCGGAAGAATATAATTACTCATTCTATTACATGGTCTGTTTATAGGACCAAACATGGCCTTATGAGTTCTCCAAGGGTCGCATGAAGGTGAAGTAGTTTACCATGCTCGCTGCTTTGGTCTTATGGTTTACACTGGTTTTGTAGTTCCAAATTGAACTTCGAAGGTTCAAAAGTTCAAACATTGTTTGCTGCAGCTCCCCTCATATTTAATATAATATCATCTATCATTTTTTCTCCAATCTGAACCTTCTAAAATAAATGAATGACTAAGATCTTAGTAAACAATATTTTTTTTTTAAAACCATCTAGGTGGTGGCCAAGTGGTAAGGATTTAGGATCAAGGGGTTTGCTCCCTTTGTGGTCTCAGGTTCGAGTCCTTGGTTGCTCATATGATGGCCACTGGAGGCTTACATGGTCGTTAACTTCAAGGCCCGTGGGATTAGTCGTGGTGCGCGCAAGCTGGTCCGGACACCCACGTTAATTAAAAAAAAAATATTTATTTTTTTTTTAAAAAAATTGTAGTTCCTTTGACCAAACGTACACATGATGAGTAACAATATTGCTATGTGTGGACATAATTAATTATTTAGCGAGTAAAAGAGGTTGTCGTGATTAGAAAACAAAAAAAATAAAATAAAAACTTAATTTGTAATAAAAAATAAAAAAATAATAATAAAGAAGGAAAGACATCATATGATATTTAATAGCTTTTATTATTGTTTAATAATTGGTATTTCTTAACATTTTTCACACTAGGTAGAGGAAATCATCTTGTCTTGGACAAATATAAATCTTCATCTCAAGCTGACTTTTAATTAGAACTCCATGATCAGCTACGCAGGAGAAATTCAAGTTCAAACGATGGTTATGAACAGTCATCCATCCAGAAAATATGAAAACAAATTAAAATAATAACAATAATTCTGTTTTCTGAAAACTTTCTATTAATTATATATATTGGCCTCCCAACATAATTTGCCTTGACAATACTGTAGTTTTTTTGCGTCAGTCTCTCATATTAATGAAATTCTATCTTTAAAAAAGAAGACTTAAAAAGAGTTTTTTTTTTTCAACCAGCGAAATATCAACGACTTTAAATATAAAATTCACAAACAATTCTCATATAGTGAGAAATATTCAATTTTGTTTTTGGAGAATCTTAAGAGTTATAAACTCATCTTAAGCATGTATAGAAAAAACAGCTGTAAGTATTTTTTCGTCAAGGTTTTGTGTTTACTTCCTTTATCTTGTCTAGACTTTCCATCATGAATTTTAAAATGTATGTAAAAGGTAAATATTAATACAATTAACATCTTAATTTTAGTGTTTAATTAAGTAAATATTGGCTACTAAGATATTGGTCATTCATTTATTTTAAGATTTTTAGATTAAAAAAATAATAAATCATATTTTCTTTAACGTGGAAGAATCTCCATCAAAATAGAGCCAAAGGGCCATGAAATATAGTAACTAGTTGGTGGATTTCTTTAGAACCAGTTACCTATAATTCTAAAATAATTGTAATTTTTCATGGTGCTTTGTCACTGTTTATACGAATAATTAAGCAAGTTAATATAATTGTTTAATCTAGATCACAGCAACTCTATGTTGCAAATGAGTAAGTTAATGGGCCATCTAAGCCTCGAGTTCATGGGTTCGAAAGCTGGCATGGATTATAATTGTTTAAAGAAACATACAAAATGTTATCCATGTTTTTTATTCAAAAAAATAAAGCAGGGCTGCAGCCTCTCGGCCATGCACTATTAACAGGGATGATGATTTCTTAAAAAAATATAAGTAAATCAGTTTTTTTAAAAAAATTAAAATGAAATTCAAAATCCGTTCAAATCAAATAGTTTTAGTTTAATATGTTTATTTAAAAAAAAATATATTTAAACTGGTTTGATTCGGTTTTTTCTAGTTGGCTTAGTTTTTTCTGCTTTGACTCGATTTTTTATTTGACTTCAGTTCAATTTTGTTTTTTTAGTTTTAGGTTTATAAAATCGAAATCAAACTGATTGATTTTTTAAAATTTTAATTGGTTAAATTGATTTTTTTAATTTAATTAATTTTTTAATTTTTTTCTCACCCCTGACTACTGGTGAGCAATCTGCTAGGTCTCGTAAATTAACTAATAAAAGGGTAATTTTACAGCTAGCGTTGGATCATCTTCGATGTGTATATAGATTGAATTCCAGTCCGATATTCTGTAGAGCTGTTTGTACGTTACACAATATCAGTCCTTGTATAAATTTTTGACCAAGTCACAACATTCCTGTATTCTTTCCATGCTGCCCATGCAATCTCTAGAATCAGCTGCTTGTATTTTTGTATTACCAATTCTATCTAATTAGCCGGTCAATGTCAATGTTCGTACTCAATTTGTGCCTCCTTTTCTGAATAAAGAGAGGACGACTGCAATAAATTATTGGCTCGGTGCCAGAGGCCATGAAGAAAAAAACAAAAAGAAAAGACAACTGGGCTTAATTTACCAGGAACTCTTTAATAATTTTTCTACTGTCAAATCCAACCTTCGCCATATATGAAAGTCATGGATGGCACCGATGCAGCCTGACCACGGTTGTTAAAATCGTAATTTTTACACGGTATAGAAAATATTAAACAAATTTAGATTGTAAAAATAAATCATAAAATTATAAAATTATAAGAAATTTTAAAATATATAAAAAAAATTCATGCTTCAAATAAAAATTTATAATACTTTAAAATATATACTTCAAATAAAAATTCATATTTAATTTAAACATCTTAAAATTCAAATAAAAATTAATAAATAATTTAATTAACTTTCCATTAGCTAATAATATTGAAATGGCATTCAATTTAATCCAATTCAACAGTTTTCAGTTCAATTTTCACCCGAGTAATATTTAGTCCAATTTAGTCGATATATAATATATACTGTGGCATTCAATTCAACAATTTTCTCACCCGATCAATTCCATTCAATTCAACATTATACATATACAAATTACAGGACTGGGCAAAATGAATTACAGGGCAAAATACAAATCTATTAGAAGATTTTGAAGGCAAAATGAACAGGGCAAAATGCAAATCTTTATTACCGGACAATTAAACTCAACACTTAACAGAGCAAAATACAAATCTATTACAGGGGCAAAATCTACTACTGCAGTGATGATGATGAAGGCAAAATGAACTTATGGTGTCGCCCGCTACTGTTGAAGATGATGATGATGAGCTGAACGGCTGCTGGTGAAGAGGCCCGATGTCGCCTGCTGCTGTTGAAGATGGAAAAGAAAGGAGATTGTTGCCGGCGTGCTGCTGTTAATAAAGATTGCAGAGGAAGCCCGAAGCCGTGAGTTGTTGAGGAGATTGTCGTCGGCCCGTTGCTGTTAAAATCATGATAAACAGAAAAGGAAGTAATGTTCGACCTCATATTTTGTGAGAAAAAGCATGGGAAAATACATTCCTAGTTTATTAGGTGAATAAAGAAATACAGAGGAACAATTACCAAATAATGGAAATGGACAATACCAAATAAATAAAGAAATGCAGAGGAATGAATACTGAATAATGGAAAAGCTTTTACAAGAAACACATGAAGGATTCAAACCTTAATTTCAATTTTTATTCAAGAAGCACTTCAATTTCAGAGACTGCAGTAGAGGTCTTTGAACATACCAATCTTGGTTCATGTGTTGTCGCGACCGTGAGCACTGAGGAAAAAGAAGGAGTGAAAACTGAGTCACTGGACTGTAAGCACTGTCATTGACCGCTTTTGTGGAGGATGGAGATCGTTGTCGCCGTTGTTATGGTTGCCGATTAGGGATTTGTTCAGCTGGGAAACTTGGGAAGAGTATTTTCTGCTTTGTGATTTGTGAAGATTGAAGGCAATGAATTAATTCACTAAAGTGAAGAGAGTCATGTGAGTCCGTGACTGTGCAAAAAAATGCAATAGGTGCTTGACAGCTGGACAAGAGAGGGGGATTTTATTTCGGCACCTTATTTTGGCACAATCGCAAAATCGGTCCTGAAATCGCGATGTTACGCGATTTCATCCGATTTTTACGATTTAACCTGATTTCAACCTGATTTTACCCATTTTTGATTTTTTCAAGCGATTCAACACATAAAGTATATTTTGACTCATAAAATCATATATTTTGACTTGTAAAATCGTATAATTTTACGAGTCAAAAAGCGATTTTAACAATCTTGAGCCTGACTATCGGCATCTGTATATTGAATGTCCCGCGTGATTGATGTGAGCATTGATTTTAAGCAAGTTTTCTCGTGTCCGAATAATTGCGGTGACGAAAAGGTTGAAAATACTTTTATTATAATATGCTTGAATCATCATTTAGTTGCCATCGCATCGAAGCCCTGCCCTCTGGTTTTATATCAGAGCAAGTTCTTCTGGAGATAATTTGAATGTGTGACAGAGATGGAACCATCCCCCATCCCCCCCAAGAAAAAAAAAAAAAAAAAAATGTACAGCAAAAAAAAAAAAAAAAAAAAACTGTACAGAGAAAGAAAATCAAACCCCTTTTGTATTTGAGATTTTGTTTCTGAGAAATCCTTCCCCGGAAGACTTTCCGGGGAAAATTAATTCAAGCAATCCCCAGATGGAGGAAAGGAAGCCCTCAGCCAATAATCAAATATTAATCACAATCTCGTGAATTAATAAAAATACTACATCTTATTAGCAAATGTACTCTCCTTCTGGATAGGTTTCAAGGACCCACTGACTTTTATACTGCAGAAAAAATCGCACGCTGGCTTAGCATTTTGGAGAAATCAAAGGCTTTTCCCACTTATCTTTTTCTTGTTTATATGCCTTGGGGTCTGCCCCCCAAGCAAAAGCAGATCAAAATCAATCCATTTCCAAGCACACCCTTGACATGAAGTCCACTCCACCAGGAAGAGATCAAATTTGAGTGTGCTTCTTGGGTTGATTAGGCCCAGATAGATTTTAAGATTGGGGGCTATGATGGCTCACTTTTACTTTTGGATTTGAACGATGAGCTGTGTTTCTATGACGTAATTTATGTTTAGAAGCAAATAATGTGGTTTACAAAGATTCCATTAGACGGCGTCATTTTTTTTTAAGAAATATATTAAAATAATATTAATTTTTTAAAAAATTTATTTTTGATATTAATATATCAAAATGATATAAAAATAAAAAAAATATTTTTTTAATTATTTTAAAAACACAAAAACAAATAAATATTATTAAAGAATTTAGGATTGGCCACTTTAATATTCTGCAACTCTTTCCCTCTCCTCCAGTTCTACACAACGGAAGGAAAAAAAAAAAAACCCTACATTATTTTTAAGCATATCGCATGCGTGTATGGAAGCATCTAGAAATGGATTTCTAAATTAAATAATGTCGCTCTTTCTTTTAGACGAAGAAATCTTCACTAAATATATATATATATATTTTTAAAAATTACACCAGTTTAAATAAAAGATGAAAAAAAATAGTTACTTCTTTTACATTTTCAAATTTTTGTCTCGATCCATGTAAAAGAATCTCTAATATACAGAAAATTATTTTTATCATCACATTATTATTAGTTTGCACCTACAAAATTAATTATGGCTCAATTACAGCATGTTGTGAGAAGATTCTTGTGTGCAATTAGCATTCTTAGTTAACAATTTCAAAACAATTAATTATTATGTCAAAGGCAACTTTATGCGAAGCAAAATACTTTTCCACTTGTTCAGCTAGTTTAATAACTGTGTTGTGAATTAATATTTTTGAAAATATCAAATAAAGTAACATTTTCAGTTAAAATTTTATGAAAATCAGCATCGCAGGATTTAGCAAAATTATAATAGAGTAACCAAACAGGGGCGACAATGGTTCTGTGATTGCATCGCAAGAGCGATGCTTGACACCACGAATTTTCCAGCACGAAATTTAACGAACACTTACAATGGCAGCGAGCGTGATAATGTGTTACTTTACGGTTACACATTCCATCTCTAATTCGTGATTCTTGTCTTCCTTATAATTTACCTCGAGTTATAAGAAATACAGGCAAGTACTGCCTCACCATTTTAATAAGCTAGCTGCACTAAAATCCCCATGGAAATGCCGGATTGCATGCTGATCCATTGAAATTGGGAAAGTAACTATGAAGCTGACAAAAAGGATTTGGATTGTATACTTGCAGTTGCCATTGATCTTGCTCCTCTCTCTTTGTGTGATCGTCCAAACAAATAAGCTGATTCTCATACCCATGTCCATCGCCATAGCCATTGCTAAAGCTATTAGGGTAAACCAGGAAGTTCCTTCGATGGTCATGTGAAGAAGTATTGGGGGAAGCTTCCAGCAAGGCCTCCCAGTTGTCATCTTCCCCTTCTTCTAACTGAATTAGAGGTGCCACCTCTTCTTTTCCCAGCTCAAAGTTACTTGCCAAGCCATTCTCTTCGGATCTCTCCAATTGAGAACTAATCTTAATTATAGTATTTGTTTTAACAACTTGCTTCTCTTGATCATCATCTTCCGTTGAATTTGATTTACACTCAACCCAAGAGGATGGTGACGTAGTTAATGATGATGATGATTGATTAGTTAGCTCCCACATCCCATTGAGAAAAGTCTCGAGAGCCTGAATATGTATCTGTGGAATTCTGTCTATGAAAGGGTACTCGTATGAGCCACAGAACCCTTTAGCTTTACACCAATCGTAAAACTCGCAAAGCTGACCTGCTTGCATAGCAGATTTCTTGTAAATACCGAATGCCGAAACACAACTCCTGTATGGCATTTCAAGCAAATTATCCAAAACCATAACAATCTCTCTTCGAAAAGTTACGTAACAAACGAAACTATCACGAATGATATGTTTCATTGCCTGTTGAACAATCAAGCTTCTAGGAGTAACCCCAGTTGGTATACAATCCAATACTCGATCTATTAGGCTTTGAAGTCGTGGCAAAAGCTCAAGCTTTCTACTCACTTGTTTTATTTTATGCTGTAAGCTCTCATGCGTCACTTCTTCCTCTGTTGCCTTGTTGTCCAAGGAAAAGCAATCAAGAGCTTGGTCGAGTAATTGCGCGTAGGACCTAATAAACACGGTGTAAGCTTCAGGATTTGAAGATGAATCATCTCGGAAATGACATGGATAGAGAGAGAGCAAGCCATTGGATCTAATCCATAATAGTTCTGCCCGAACAGGGCTATCTTCAGGCAATGACCTGATCAAGCGGTGGAGGAGAATGAGGCATTTGAGAGCAACTTTCCAGGATCGAGTATTGCCAAAACGGCGAGTGAAGCTAAGAGAAAAGGAGTGAAATGATGAGTTAGAGAAGGAAAATATCTTCACGAGCTCGTGCATGTATTTTTCGGGCAACGGTAAGTCATCAGGAGCAGTTGCTTTGACAATTATGAGATCAACATCACAAAACCCTCCAAATGTGGCGATTTTGGCATAACTTACAGAGGTGTGCTCCTTTAGAGCACAAACAACTTGCCTGAATCGCTTGTGCATGGCTACACCAAAGAGAAAGAGAGAGGGCCAGGGGGGAGAGAGAGAGAGTTGTGTTCTGGACGGCAAATGGTGTTTTTACAACATGACTGCAAAAACAAACAAGTTTTAAAGATATGATATAAAATGACATATGACAAGCACCCTCGGCATTATCGAGCTATAACTACAAGGAAAAAAATTGTAGTTTTACAGCTAGGAGTTGCAGTCAGGCGTCTAAACTACATGGAATGCTACCCATAAGAAACAATGGAACCCTGCATAATACAAAAGGAGAAGCTACATGATCAATTACCAGTTCCTTTTTGTCCATGACAATTAATTTTTTTAAAAGGAGATTCCTAGACTTACTTATATGGTATCACGATGCAAATCTATTTTCCAAGTGTCATTAAAGTACTGGCAGTTGATTTGCGCAATATTTGTCTTGCGATGCCTACCAAATTTATACTATTCAATCACCTCCCCAGGTAATGTTTCATTTATTTATTTCTAAAAACTAGCTAACAAAACTTGATTAAAGAAATGTTTTTTTATTCGATTTACGTTTTACATTATTTTTTATCTAAAAAATATTAAAGTGATAGTTTTAAAGTAATTTTCAATGATTCTAGCTTGATGAAGTAAAAAAAATCTTAAAAAGTAATTTTGATATACTCTTAATTAAAAAATACTTTTAATTTTTTTTGAAAGCACTGAATTGCATTAACAAAACACACTAATAAACGCTGGAGGATTGGACTGGATTAGGGATTACCGAAGCACTGGATTCAATTGAACTCCACGTAAATGAAAAGTTACAAATGGAGAGTAAGCGTGTAGTCATCGATCGCTCATCAGTAATGTCATGACTGAAAATATATTATAGTCGAGGATGCTATAGAGACTTGCAGGTAGGGATGGGGTTAATTAATTATTCTTAGATCAGGTTTGATATTATTACCTGAATCCGAAATAATTATCCATATTTAGAGTGTGTTTGTTTTAGAAATTGAGGTTGGATTTTGTATATGAAAACCATAAAAAAAGCTTGAAAAAAACAAAAAAAAATCTAGCTTTTGTGATTGATTTTTAGGTACAATTAAATTATATCTAATTTCAACCTCAAATTTTAAAACAAATATACCCTAATTAGACCTGAAACCTAAGAGGTGTGGATCTTGAAAGCCAGGACCCAAAACTGAATTGTGTAAACAATTTTTCAGAAGCAAAACAGAATGAATTTTTTGTTGTTGGGTTGCGCAGAAATGGATTTAATATATAATAATAATTATTATATTGTGTTTAAGAAATGTATTTTTTTTAGTTTCCTTTTTTCGTTTAATGTGTTTTCAAATATATATATATTATATTTTTCTTTAGCTATGTTCTTTATTACGTGAAAATTGAAAGGAATTAAAATAGTATCAAAACAATTTAAAATTTTGAAATTAAAATTTTTTTCAAAACAATTTAAAATTTTGAAATTAAAAAAAAAATTATCTCTTTAATCAAAATATTGATTTTTTTAATAATTTTTTTATCCAAGGTATTTTTTTAAAATAAAAAATTACCCTAATATTAAAATCAAGTCTTCATGAATAAT